TTCGCTGTCAGAGGTCGCCGGTCTTCGCGTGAAGTCGTCCTGGTCGAAGCAGAGGTCGTCGTTCTTGGTTCTTCGATCAGATTTGGAGGCAGCAGCTCGTCACTCCCCATCGTCATTTCTTCTTTACGGTGGTAGATCCATGGTCGCAGCCCGAGGTTCTTCCTTCTCCTTCTACCTGTTTTCAGCTTCTGTGGTCTTGTTGCCTGGTTTGCTATTTTCTTTCAGTTCGATGTGCTCTGTTTTTTCCTTTCTTGGTCTTGCTTCCGTGTTTCAGGCTTCCAGCTATGAGTGATATGAAATCTAATTATCTGAATTGATCTTTGAGGTTGAAGAAGTGAAATTAAAACATTCGGTGTATGGGCTGTGGGCATTTGAAATTTGTATGTGTTTGTTTTTTTTTTTCAATTTTTTAAATCCAGACCAATGAATAAACGTCCATGTGAATGAAATCTGAAAGTAGAATAGCCAAAGAGATGTCAAATGGATATTAGGATTGTTCTATTTTAATGTTGCCAATTAAATTTCCAGTGCTTGAGTTTGGTTGATAGATTTCCTATATTATTATCATATAGTGCAAGGTGTCTGGCTCTCTGACTCTCTATTCATCTTTCCAAAATTCACAATTTCTCTCATTAATCCTTACCTAGATAACAGCAGAATCCACCATTTTATTCTAGTGGTTTTATCATCGTGTTTGTATGCATGTAGTTTCTAGCCTTCTTGTATATATATTTATTTCTTCTTCTTTTTTGGCTAAATTTCTGCAGGATTAGAACCGAGTTTCAAACAATAATTGTGGGTTTTTTCCGCATTATTCAATCTTTATTTTCATTCTTATATGTAATGGGTGATACCGATACATTGGAGTACCCCATATCAGAACAAACCCTTCGGTTATTGTTTGGGGCTTCAAGCTCGACTGACTTGGAAAAGTCCTTGGAAATTTTCGAAGAAATTTCCAAATCTGCTTCTGGGCGTTCGGAGCTTTCTTCTAAAGGAATTCTTCCAGCAGTGCTGGAGATAATTCATTCTGCGCCATGTACTTCACAGCATCATTTTCTTCCATTGTCTTTGAAGCTCCTTAGAAATCTGTGCGCTGGAGAGATTGCAAATCAGAACTCATTTGTTGAGCTCAAGGGGGCTGGTATTGTCTCCAATGTTTTAAGGTCGGTGGCAAGTTGTTCGGACCCAGATCAGGGATTGGCCCGTGTCTGTTTGCAAGTTTTGGCAAATGTTTCGTTGGCTGGGAAAGACCATCAGCATGCTATTTGGGAAGAACTCTATCCTAATGGTTTTGTATCTCTGGCAAGACTCCGGAATAGGGGGACTTGCGACCCTTTGTGTATGATAATTTATACATGTTATGGTGGAAATCCTGAATTGGTGAGAAAGCTGTACAGTGATAGTGGGTGGCCCATAATGGTAGAAATTATAAGAACTGCTTCTCTTGGTAAGTTGTAAGATGTATTTGTTGTCATTAGGTTTTTGAGAGTTGCTTTAGTTTGTATCACTGATTATATTTCTTCTCTTCTATTATTCTCTTATTCATTGGTTTCTAATGACCCAGTTGGTTTTGGAGAGGATTGGTTAAAGTTACTCCTTTCAAGAATCTGCTTGGAAGAATCTCAGTTGCCTCTATTGTTCTCTAAGTTATGGTCTGGAGCTGCTTCTGAGGGTGAAGTTTCTGAATTCAGAGATGATCAGTTATCATCTGAACAGGCATTTCTTTTGGAAATTGTGGCAGAAATCTTAAATGAAAGGATCACTGATGTTGCTGTTACAAGGGATGTTGCATTGTTTGTTTATGAAATATTCAAGCACTCTATTGGAGTTCTCGAGCATGCCCCTAAAGCCAAGTCTGGTATACCTACCGGCTGTGCTGCCATTGACGTTCTAGGATACTCTATCAGCATAATGAGAGATATTTGTGCCCAAGATGATGTGAAAGGAGGTATCAAAGGGGAATCAGAGGATGTTGTTAACGAACTGTTATCACAAGGCCTCATTGATTTGCTTTTGTCTCTGCTTCACGATCTTGAGCCTCCAGCAATAATCAGGAAAGCAATAAAACAATCTGAGAAGCGAGACAAAGCTGAAGCATCTAGGTTGCGGAAACCCTGCCTGTACAAGGGATTCAGGAGAGACATTGTTGCTCTTGTTGGCAATTGTTTGTACAGAAGAAAGCATGCACAAGATGAGATAAGGGGGAAAAATGGAATTATACTCCTACTGCAACAATGCGTTACTGATGAGGACAATCCATTCCTTAGAGAGTGGGGAATATGGTCAGTGAGGAATATGTTGGAGGGGAATGAGGAGAACCAAAGGGCTGTTGCAGAGTTGGAGGTTCAGGGATCTGTTGATGTGCCGGAAATTTCGGCACTTGGACTTAGAGTGGAAATTGATCAGAAAACTAGACGTGCAAAGCTTGTAAATGTCCCGTGAAAATTCGCCTTAGATGGGATATATATCTATGAATGGTGTCATGTGAAGAAAATGGCATTCTCGGAAAATGAAGAGTTGATATCTGAAGTAGATTTCTGTTGAAGCGAGGAGAGAATTAAAAGGACCTCTTTCTCTGTCTTTTCTGCCCTCACCTCAACTAGGTATTTCTTTTTTTGGGTACAAGAAGAGAGATAAAATCCAAAAATTAAAACAGCTAGGCTAAAAGGGGATTAAATCCCAAACAATCTTTCTTTTTTTTTTTTTTTTTTGAGTAGGCAAGCTCCGCTTGCGGGCAGGGATTGAACCTGTTAAGAGCCACCAACAGGTGGCTACCATGCCACTGCGCGGCACAGGTGCTGACAAATCCCAAACTATCTTGAAACAGGTCTTGATTTGGCTATGCATCTTGTTTGGGCTTGTCTTTTGGTCCGCATCTTGACTGATTGATTATGGAGGATGGATAATGAATTGATTAGAGGGCTAACAGCAGGTAAACTGCATACGATATTGAATTATAATTCAAAAATTTTCAAGTTATAATCTTCTTTTGTTCATGCTCACATCTTAAACGGATTTAAAATTGTTAATAGCTGAAATATTCCCCAAACAAATACCACTTTATGATATAAGAATCATTTTATAGTATAAATTGTATTATGAATGGATCTTATATTTAGGAAAGGAAGAGTAGTTTGGAGAAAAGGAACTATGCTTTTATGTTGCTAGTCTAAAGTTGTTGATATTGTGAGCTCAAATGTGGAACTTCATCCAAGTGTGATTGATGGCATTATTGTTGGAGCAACTAGTCAATGAATTTTTAAAATCAATTCGATATAATGTCAATAATAATCAAATGAAATAAAATAAATGAATTGAAATAAAAATGAAAAATAATTTTTAATTAAAAATAAGGAACAATGGTAATTACAAATATTAATAAATCAATAAATATTATAAAAAATTAAATTGAAAAATGTGGTGCTATTTTAAGTCTATAGGAACTTAATGCCGTCCACTTCTCACGCAAATAATTATCAAATTATAGATACAGTGAAGTTTCACAATGTAGAGCCGATAATATAAGTTGAGTCTATGGGCTCAACATGTCAAACAGCCAAGAAATGGTAGGTTAGATTGATGAAAATCTAGCTTGTTTTAAAATTGACTTTTTAAGCTTGTAACTACCAAGACCGAACTAGTGGCAAGCTAACCCGCAAGGTTGGTAGGCTAGCCTTTAAAAAAAAAAAAAAATTCTTTTCCTCCCTTGCAAAACGCAACGTCTCCATAATATTGAATGGTAGATGATGGTTCACCACTTGATTGTGATATTGTGTTGGTTTAATTTGACATTTATGTTTAATAATTCAGGATGTGTCATGTATGTTTAATAATTTGGGATGTTTGGATTTCACGTTTTATTTATAATAATTTCTATTTGGATGTTTTATTTTAGATATTTAGAAAGTGGAATAGATTTTATTAGGAGGAAAAAAGGACAAGAAAATACTCCTAAATATACAAAATCCCATATCAGTGCTAATGAAAAGCAAAAGCCCATTCCAGAACAGGAGTACTAATTTGTCATTTTCAAATGTCGGTAAAAGTCAAGCTTATTCTTGATAAATTGACAAAAGAAAAGATAATGTAGAAAGCAAGTTAGTGTAATTCATTTATATAAAAGGTATTGTTAATCAATATGAAAGAATTGTCAATGCACATAACAAGGAAGCAACATATGATTTGATTGAGTTTCTTAATTGGCTTGTCTTCTAATAAATTTTGCTAATGACTTGTTGTCAATATATATAAAATTATTGTTAATTTATTTGGAAGAGTCTTCAATGGGCCTAGCAAAGTTGTAATAAATTTCTTTGGTTATTTGTTGTCAACGCATATAAAAGTATTATTAATCCATATTTGGAAGAGTAACAAAGTTGTAATAAATTTTTCTAATTACTTGTTGTTAATCTATTTGGAAGAATTATCACCATACCTAACAAAATTGTTAATATATTTATGTGATGACAATTGATATGTCCTATTATGAATTTCCCACATTACTTATAATGAATACACATAAAGATGTTGTTAACAAATAAATATTACATAATTCAGGCAGTGTCTTTCAAACACAAGTAGTTACTAGATACTACACAATTGTCAAAAGGTTTGATAAAGCAATAAACACCTAATTCATACATCATAATCACATAAATTCAACTAGCAACAACCCTGCTCACTATTTCAGTATTTCGACAAGTGCTGCCGCTTTGTTATCTTTTTTACTGTTCAGGCAACTCCAAAGCTTTAGCCCTTTAACAATATTCATTATGGTTAAGCAGCCATCACAAGAGATTACAGCTAAACGCAATCACTTGTTTATTTGTGTATTTCAATGTCCCATTTGCTTAACCATACCGTGATATCAACACATGCACACGGCAGAGAAAGTCAGTTGTCAATTCCAAGTCCATGAAACAAACAATTTTCGACAATAATTACACGAAGTTAACGCCGCCTGAGTCAGATAGCATTGGGATAGCTGTGATATGCATTGCCGGTTTTCCTACAGAGGAGATACTGGATATGGATTCATGATGTTCTGATAAAAGGCCTCGTCCTTGAATTCAGACCTTTCATTCAGATTATTTGCAGTACTTCTTTAGCAATTGACTACAACAAATTAGCTATTCATCATAATAGTTTCACAATTGACAACACATTTTAGCCAGTTCTATATTGTTTTAGAAGAAGAGTAATCAACCATCCAGATGTTCAAAAAATGAAATGCGACTACAATCACTTGAGGGAAGGTAGCAGGTGTTGTTATACTAATTGCTTCTATCCTACCCTGAAATTGTATACTAATTTTCCGTGACATGTTTCTTTGATTTGAAAAATTATGTAGTTAAGTTGTATATAAATGTTTGATGAGCTCAAAATATTTTGAAACCCTAGGTTTTATCCAAGAGGCCCTTGTATTCAATCATTTAAATATATTTAATTACTGATTTAAAATTGCATCCATGATATTGGATTATTGACCCACGATACTCTTCTCTTAAATTTTTTTCTCCGTTCATTAAAAAGAAAGGAAAATTCAGTGGTTTAGACACATGGGTACAAAGAAGAGGGCATGCGTTGAAAACTTGAACTCCCATGATAGGGTGCTTAGGTTGCTAAATTGCTGTAGTGAAGTTTTTAACTAGACTTGCAGCTTGAAACCGCTAAACTGAAATGATCTGTGGCTCAAACTGATTACCAATCACATTTAACTAGAATGTGAATATGTGATGTAGCTGTTTCCTGGTGAACTGCTGTCGAATGTAGAGTTCTTTATTGGACGAACTGCAGGAAAACCAAGACACTGAAAAAGAAACTGGAATCATCTATGACTCATCTTATTTTCAAATACCAATCACAATTAGGCTAGAATTTGACCTCGGATTATGAGCAGTCTTGCCTCTGGTGCTACTTTTCTTGTTTATTCTCCACCTCTCCTTCCTTTTATAGTGTAATTATTCCTGATTCTGTACATTCCCTCAAGAATAATCAGAAGCAAAAATCACATATTAATAATCTTGAATTTAACGGATCGCCAGTCCCAAAAAGTGGAAGGGTGAAGTATCACATTTCATTTCAATGCATAGCAAAATGTTCAACCGATTAAGTGAGCTTCAATTCTTCCAATAATGGAGCATACCATACCAAGCTTTAAAAGGTTCCAAGTGTCAATAACGACACTTCATCGTTACTGCTTCGAACTACTACAGCATAGGAGTATAAAATTATTCCAATCCCATTAACTACCCAACGGTTACCCTGAACATTGACTACCGAAGTTTATGCTTGTACAATCAATTTAGAAAACTCATAGGCCCGAATTACATAAAAGATAGTAGATTTATAAACACTAGCAAGAATGGGCAATTCTTCTTCCTAGTTAGAAAATTGGTCAAGGCCACCAATATAGAAAGAATAATACCTGAGTAATAAGATCATTGGCCAGGTCGCGACTAGGAATGAGAAGCGAGCAACGAAGACTAGAAGGGGGAGGGGGAGGTGCGGGCGGGGGAAAACATGGGAGAACGCAGAGACGAAGTTGCGGCGAGGAAAGTGTGGAGGCCGTCTACTGTGTAATGAATTGTTACAATAGGGTGTGAGAAATACTAGGGCATGATGGTAGAAGTAAGCAACGACGACGAGTTGTGGCCGGGGAAGACGATGGAGGGACGGAAGTGGGGAAGGAGAGTCGCAGTAGTGGGTGGGACGAGATGCTGATGACAGTTGCGCGGCCAATGGGGAAGTAGTTGCTATTGATGGTGTCAGGGCTGTGAGGGGATGAGTGTCGCAAGATGAAAATGGGAGAGAAGCATAACAAATACGCAAAAATGACACTTAAACTTAAAAATCTAAAAATAATTATTTAAATAAGTTAAATTTTAATTTAAGCATAAGTGATTTATATGTAATTTGTACACTTGTTAAAATGACCATATTATCTTTTATTTTTTTTATCATTTTTAAAAAACCAAATACCCTCACCAGCTGCCGGTCGCAAGAGTTTCGGTGCTAGCGGCAACCGCCAGAGCTCAAGTGGCTACTGTCACCGGAGCTCTGATGATCAGTCGACAATCAGTCGCTAGAGCTCCCGTGGCTAGCAACTATTTTTTTAAATTTTTTTTTTTACAATTTTAGCAACACAGTTAACAAGTTTTGTAACACTATTAACAAGTTTAGTATATCAATTAACAGCAAGTTTTTTGGAAAATTCAAAAAGTAACATTTTTACAATTTCAGTAATGTTGTTAAAAAGTTTCATAACTCTATTAATAAGTTCAGTATAGCATTTAACACAATAGGCTTTCTGGAAAATTCAAAAAGTGACATTTTTACAATTTCAGTAACATAGTTAACAAATCATATAATGATATTAACAACTCTCATAACCATAATGGCTATCTAATAAGTGAAAAAATTTTGTTGTATAAACTTCATAGGGAGCTAATATTAAAAATATCAACATTTATGAGAGTTGTTAATATCATTATATGACTTGTTAACCGTATTATTGAAATTGTAAAAATGTTACTTTTTGAATTTCTCAGAAAACTTGTTTTTAAATGCTATACCAAACTTGTCAATAGAGTTATAGAACTTGTTAATAGCACTATTGAAGTTGTGAAAATATCACTTTTTGAATTTCCTGAAAGACCTATTGTTAACTGTTATACTGAACTTGTTAATAACGTTGTAAAACTTGTTAACCATGTTACTACTGAAGTTGTAAAAATTTTCAAAATAATAGTTGCTAGCCACCGAAACTCCAGCAACTGATTGTCGGCCAACCACCAGAGCTCTGGTGACGATGGCCACTTGAGCTCTGGCAGCCACAGCTGGCATCAAAGCTCCGACGACCGATCGGTTAGTGAGGGTATTTGTTTTTTTTAAAAAAAGAGTAATAAGATCATTTCAGCAAATTTGTGAAAATTAGCCACTTATACCTAAATTAGGATTTTGCTTATTCAAGTTATCATTTTGAGATTTTCAAGTTGAAGTGTTATTTTTGTATCTTTTTTTCCAAAGAATTAAGGGTAATGTGGTCTTTTAACAAAATTTGCAAATCCAAAATTAACACCTAGAGACCAATTTGAGGTCACTGAATTAGGTTTTTGACATTTTGAGGATATTTATTTATCGTTTCCATTAAAAGGAAACAAAAGACAAAAAAAATTAAAAAAAAAGTGACGGGTTGGTGGGGTCAGTCGGTAAAATACACAACCCGCCAGAGATCCTTTTACAACCAATCCCCGCATTATATTATCACCTCTATCACGATGTATTCACTAATCACCAGGACCAGTTGATCATCTAATAAAATCAATTACAATGTGCTCCAAAAAAGAGCCAATTCATACAAAATACATCATAATTTATTTGGCCAACCATATTTCATAATATTCGAAGAGCAACAATTAGAAATTTTACGAGTAATCTATAGAAAATCATCCATAGTTCTTGTTATTACAATATTCACATGAACAAAAACCAGCCATCTAACCTGAAATACATGTGGCTAGTAGGCTCTAGCTTTTTCCTCCCGGCAAAGCAAAAGAATAACCAAAAAGTCCAAGTTACAAAACTGTACACCGTATCTGTATTTTCAACGAGTATGACGCACTTAAGAATTGTCAACTCCTCTATGGTGTAAATTATTTCCCAGAAACTATAAAATATTCTATTTTGTAACTTACATCCATCTCATTCTAATGGCTAGGAGGACGAAGTGAATGTTTTCAAATTCATCAAATGGTAAGATTCTCCTGAATGGCTAGAAATGACCCCGTTATTTTGCCACCAACATCTGGGAAATTTTCATGGCCAGGGAGGGATCTAACCTTTCCCTTTCGATCAACTTCTACCGGGTATTTCAGTAGGTGCCCTTTCATCTCCGTTACTTCTGGTGCTGCAAATCGTTTCCAGTTCATTTCGCTCATTGCTCTTACTCTTCTGACGCATTCCAGGCCCTCCGGTTGCAAGAAGCAGTTTTCAATTGTTCCTGTGTGTTCTGCCCAGAGCGACATCCTATATCCATGGATCTACATGGTGCAGTTTCATGAAGAATGGCAGTCAGGTCTAAGTACAGGAATCATAATGCACCAAAGTGGTATGAAGGGAAAACAAATTAAAACCAAAATAATTAAGTTTTTTAGGTGGCGTTAGGTACAAGGAAACATAATCTCCAAAAGTGGGGGAGCTATCTGAGTTGACTGACCTTAACTAGTCAAAGTTTACATACAGATTTCCAAATATTAGGGAAAATAGGATATTTTATATACCACATGCCACCTTAATGTGTTCTTTCGTAATCCCATAATGAAAATACAGATCTAGGGCCTTTTAGATTTAGCGAGGGGATAGAGAGAAGGGTAAGCAGATCCCACTGGGCCTCACCTTCCCTCTCTCACTCTAAATGGATCCCTGACAGCACATATGAGAAAACACTGATATTCTAGTCACAGTACGTACTTGATTGTTTTGCATCAATCAGAACTAGAGTAGACACTTAGTTGGTAACTTTCCCTGATACCAGAGAAAGAAGCTGATTGAAGTATTGTTCAATAGGTAGACATTTTATTGCATGATATCCCTAGACAAAGTTACGTTTCTACTCTTAGGGCATAGAGGAATCAGAAGACAACCCCAAGACCCAGCTTTGTGGCTTCATTATCATGAAGAATTTGTCTAGAGACGTCAAGCAATGAAATATTTCTATTATAAGAATCTGTCCACAGATAGTTGAGAATATAACCGTGGTAGTGCACATACGACCCTAATTTACTTCTCATGGCATTAAGCTATCTTGCCATAAAAAATTGGCTTTATCATGCATCATGCTCATATTTCATGTCTCTCTATTAAGCAGCACCTTCGGGAATTTCCCTATGACTATCAGATATTTAATTATGATCAACTTCTTTGCCAGAATGCCTAGGGTGAAGATAGAATATGGTCACATGAAAAATGGCTTGCCATTAAAATGACTAATTGCCAATAAAATATACCTGTCCACGAGGATAAGAATGTCTTCTTGCCCAGGTATAATGAGGTTGATAAGCTCCCATAGCAATCTCACTGTCCCTTGTTCCTTCCATAGAGCGCTGGTTGATGTTTGCAGATCCCAATATCACATACTCGTCATCAACTATCATGCCTTTTGAATGAACGTAAATCATGAAACGTCGGCTACTTTGACTTAGTGCCTGGGAATTAGCACCAGTATAGAATGAATTTAGGAGTCCATTTGCGACAGAGCACAAGAATATGCCATATAAAAACTTGAAGTGCCTGGTTATACTCAGGTCATATCAGTGAAGAAATAAAAAGCAGAAGACACATGGATGTATATCTATAATTTTATATTAACTCAGTTTGACGGAGTTTTTTTCTTAAAAATGTTGTACCAAAAATTCAAGGTTAACGTGTATTTTTATCCTTGAACCTTTTTTTTTTTTTTTTTTGAGGTACACTGATTATCCTAAAGTCAAGGGTAGTGCAACGATGACCCTTAAGTATTAAAAAAGGTGCAATGTTACCACTGCGTTACACCCCCATTATTTTGATCTTTAGCGGACAACAAAAATTACAGATAAGGCCCTAGAAAATTATAAATAAATATTTATAAGAAAATTAAAATGGATTAAGGCCCTAGAATCACAAATAAATGCCAAGGGATTAATGCTATTTTTTATCGTTGTAGAAGACCAAAATACCATTTTGACTGGCTATCAAGTGATTATCGAATCACCATTACTGGCAAAATAGCCCCATTAAGTAATTAAAAAAAAATATTTTTGTTTAATAAAATTAAAATATTAATACTTAAATATTATTATGATCAAATCTTCAAATACGATTAACAAGTCAACCAATTGAGACTTATAATTCCTCCAAAAATAACAATTTAACTAGTGTATTTGCACCTCAAAAAAGTTTAGGGATAAAAGCACACTAATCCTAAAATTCGCAGTGCAAAAGAAGTGCTTGGATTGTGGAAGGGTGTACGCTAGGCAGAACTGCAAAATACTCATACCTGTGGACTGTTTGCTGGAGGAGGATTTCCAGGCATTGCATCACTACCATATGTGTCATTGACCTCGCGATTGCCAAGACAGAAAAAGTTCAAGTAGTCTTCTGGTGAGAATGCCTCTTCAAGCCCAGCCTCAACCAAAGCCTTGTAAATTGTCTCATACATCATTTGCATTGTTTTATGCTGCCACAATCAAATAGTAACTCCAGATTAACAATCCAATAAACCAATAACCGTAGTAACATTATCTTCTTAAAAATTAACAGAAAAAGTAGTTCTTCTATTTACTTTGAATTTTAGAGGCCACAAGGATATTTCTCACACCAAGGTTGCATATAAATACAAAATTCCCAAGGCTACTAACAGCTAAATTCTTACAGCAGCCAAAGTGCACTGCTGACTCAGGCGCCAAGTTTAATATACTACGAAAAATCACTAAGAAGATAATTTCATCCAGAGTAGTTGTCATGCATAAATTTAGACAAAAAACACCAGGTGGCCATTATAATGAGGGGT